TTTTTTTTTTTTTTTTTTAAGTAAGGTGAAAGTATAATGCCTAATAACAAGGTTATTTTGGTTAGTTTTGAGGTTTCTGGAGTGCAGGCCCTTACTATTTTCTGTAGATTTTTTCTCAGTTTTCATAACCAAGAGCTGCACTGTGGTATGTAGCTGGAGTGAAGATTGGACTCTGCTCTGTACCTAGTCTCTTTTATTGGTTAACTGTTCTGTTGTTTCCTATCTCGTATACGGAGATGCACACAGCCATTGAACGGCTGGATTTTGTAGTGACAGAACAACTTAGTTGATTAGTAGAGTCAAGATGTACGCTCTTGAGGCAAGTCCAACATTGTCTTTGGAGGCACGTCCTCATGGAAATGCTGTTCTATGAAAGTCCCACTTTTGCACACCCGGTCTGATGGATTTTGTCGTAGTGTTTCAAAACCTTCTTAACAAATTAAAGAAATATGTAATTGAGGCAAACCTAATTCCCCCCTCCCTGCAATTCCCCGGTGTTTTCTCTGCTCGTAACCAGTCTAGAACCTACATAAAATGCATTCCCCCTGCTGGAGGCTGAGAAGGCTTCACAAATACGTTTACATTGTACATCTGCTAATTGCGCACTTGTTTTATTTGAAATTTCACACTTGCAAATCCTCTTCCCTTTTTTTCTGCTTCGGAGAGATTTTCTTAAAAGGATAATCCAGTTTTCTAGAGCAGGCTCTCCAGAGCTTTGAGTTCTGTCCCCCTGCTTGGTGACTGCTCCTCTATGAATACATTGACAAAGTGACCTTGCTAGGTCCATGTTAATACGTAATCATAAGCTATAATAATAATGCTAGTTTAGATACTAATTACCAACAGAGTATCTAGCAGGAAGCATCAAGCTTCCTATTTTTAATTTCGAAAAGAATTTGCTTTGGCTGAGATGGAGACCTTAACAAATAGACTGCAAGACATGGTGTATCTTCCAGCACTTCAAAATGCTGTTTTTGATGTAACATTGGATCCCCCAGCATGGACATGAGACTCTGCAGAATAAGTCTTTCCCAGAATTATTTGATCGCATTTAAGGCGCTGAATTGTTCATGCCTAATGGTATTAATTCTTTTGGAACTGTTGTCTCAACCTTTCCACCCTATCGGCTCCTCCATTATTGTAAAAACCGTTATAGTGCACGAAGACAGTCTATCTGTCTGTCACTCTGCCATATTGGCTTAAAAGCCAATAGAGTTTAAACCAATCAAAAATCTGCCGTGAATCCTCAAGGTCGGAACTTGACAAGAACATTAACAAAGTGCTTAATGTATTGACAAACACCTGCATGGCTAAACGTTCATAAAGCTCAACACAATTTGTAATGGTTTTAAATTTGAATGTCTTACCTTTAACAAAGCAGAATGCTGAATGTAGCAGGGTCATAACCTGCGACCTGAAAATGAAAGTGCACAATCTCCTGTGTGTGCTCTCTTTCTTTTCCCTCTAACTGTTGTTCAAATGATGAACAATTCTAAATTGTGACTTCTGGAGTTCTTTTTCACAGGTCTGCATGCTCATAGGAAGAAGGAAACTGTGTATAATAGAATTCCTTCCTAGGAATCAATGAACAATAACTGTTCTTTCCAATTAGTTAATAGCTTTTCCAACTATCTACCCCCTGCCTACCTTAGCTATTTTTAGCCTGCCCATCACTGTTGTACATAAGCACTGTGAACAAATTCAGGTTGTTAAACTTAGTTGAGAGAGCCAAATACATTTGTTTGTCTAGTGGTGCTCTACAAGCAGGTAGAGCCTGGGCGTAGTTGCTGCTAGTACTTCCTAACAAATGAGTAGCATCGCATTCCAACTTCCCTCCATGGAAGAAAACAAATCTGTCTTGTTTTCAGCTATGCCTTCTGGTTCTGATTTGATCATTTAAGGTGAATTTATGGGTTAAATGCACATTAGCAGGACTGTCTGCTAGGGGTAGAGCCCAAGGGCTCTCACAGGCAGGGTAAACAGATCCCATTGTCATGAGACACTCTACCCTGCATATCTTCATGAAATTATTTGCATCCATCAAGCTAAGCTGAATTTAAATCTTTTGTGCGTTTTGGGAAATCAAGGAGATTTCCGTAGCTATGTGAAACTTCTGGGCTTTTATCAGAACTGTATCAAGTCTAATTGTTCACCTGAAACTCATGATGGGAACAAATGGCTTTGTGCTTAGCTTATGTTATGCCAGCCGGCACAGTGCTGCCCTCCACGTGACATATACAGTTCCTCTGTGCTATGGGGACTCCGCACAGCAGAAAGTGAATTTCTTTTGGTTGCTGCTCAGGATCTCTGTGGAGAGGCCCCTGACCTACCACATTTAGGGGTGGAGGATTTCTTTGGCGCAGAAGGCAATTGTTCATGTTACATTTGTGTGTGTGGCCCTGGATGGCGATTAGACTGAAAATTTGACGTCTGAAAATAATTTTTCCTTCTTCCTTTCCCTGGCGGTGCAAATAAAAACAGCTGGGTGTGCCAGTTTTACTTTACATGTAAATGTGTGCTTCAACCTCAATAAGCAAATATACACCCAGGGGTGATTGTGAACTTCTGATAAATGAACAGTGCTAAATAATGTATACAGAAAACCCAGGCTGGTCTGCCTCTTTTGGCTCCCAAGTGACTGCTTTCCCAAGAAGTTGGAGAAGAAATCTCATTAGTTTAAACCTGTAGGGACTCTGTTATACTTAACTGATGATCCTTCATGTTTTCCACCCATTTAAGCCACAGTTCGTTACTCTGAAGGTCAGGAGCAAAGGGTGAAAACTATGATGAGTGTTTAATATAAATATGCACAGCTGGAGGCTGGCACAAATTTGCCAGCTGAAATGCAATCTATTTTCTGCGTAAAGAAAGAAATAATTTCATTAATTCTACTTGTGCTGCACCTGCATATAGATATTCCTCCTTCAGGATTTTATTTCACACAAGAGAGACAGCAGGAAACAATTATATAGGCCAGTGACCACTGGGAGAAGGAACAAGGGAAAAGGTTTTTGCTATGCATTATGTATTAATTTGTACAGTCTTCCATGACACTTTTGTTTGATGAGAACCCCTTTGCTCTTCTCACCTCCTGAGACAGGTTGGGTTGAGCGAAGTGGCTGATAGAAACAACAGCACTCCATACTTTAGCCATTTGTGTTCTTGTCTTACAAATCTGGGGCTTTCATGGAGGGCTGGTGGTCCATCCTACTTATTCCCGTCCAGCTAAGTGAGCTCTACCTCTGAATGGGATTTCATGGACTAAAAATAGAGCACAGAGGATGCATCTACACATGCACTTTAAAGCACATTAGCCTCTTTTAATGCGCATTACAGCATCACTAAAAAAACCCATGCTATTTAGTTAATGCGCATTGAAATAGGCTGATGCACATTAAGCATCACTTAAAAACCATAAGGCATTTTTGCACATGCTCTGGAGGTGGAGGACAGCACTTTAATTAGAGGGGCTCCAAGAGCCGCTCTAATTAAAGCGCCACATCTTGTGCATCAGCATCCCTGAGCTTTAAAATGGTGGCGGGGGCGTTTGAACTAAAGCTCATTTGATGAGCTTTAGTGCAAGTACCCCTACCACCATTATTAAGTGGGGGGACACTGATACGTGAGACACAGGAGGCTGGTGGAGCGCGGCAATCGTCACACTCCAGCAGAGTTGATTAACTGAGTTTGCTCCGACACACTGGGATTTCAATGCATTGGAGCAGGCTTGGTGCTCATGTATAGGTGCCCATACTCTTTATTTAACGTTCGACAGGCTAATGTGCATTTTCCTAGTACCTCACAATGGAGGTACTAGATTTAATGAATGTTAACTAAAGTACATTAGTGCAAGTGTAGGTGTTCCCACAATGTCCTAGGATGAACCCTGCTGATGACCTGTATGGTGACTTGCTAAGCAAGCAGGAAAAGCTAAAGGTGAGAGGAGACTGTCACACTTTAACTGCTACCTTCTGCTCATCCTAAGTTTATGGCATTCAGAACCTATTCCTGGTAATAGTTTGGGATCTGGGGATGTGGTCTTTACATTTTGGTGCACATGCTCCCTATTCATTATTTGCCATTCTACACGAATGATTTTTGCTTTCTCCTGTAATTTGTGACTTGTATGGCAGGGGTATGTGTGTGGGGGAAGCTATGTCTTGAAGGGACTACAGATAGGTTGTTATAACACAGGCCTATCTGTGCTGCATACCTGCTTTCCCAACAAAAGGAATTGGACCTGCAGTTGATCCATCTAGAATTCGTAGTCTAATGAGAGGTCAACCTTATTAGAGAGAGGAATGGAAGCATGGCAGTGGTTCATCCTCCCTAATAGACTTGGCATCCTGTTTGGCATGTATTCCATCAAAGCACCCCAAGCATTCTTTGCATACATATTAACAGTAATATCCTGTGCAGCTGCTGAACATGAATGGCAAAGAAATATTGTTGAAGGGAAATTAAACTACATAGTGAGATTTTTAGAGGTGTGTAGGAATCGTGCACATAAAATCTTTCATCTACTGAAGGAATATTAATAGTGCGCTTTACCTTTCAGGAGGAAATTTAGTCATTATCAGGAGCAAATAAACCCAAACAAATCTATAAAGCCTTTCAATTATCTGTTTAAATCACCCTTTTCTGAGTTGGAGGCATTGAGAACCAGTCTTTTTTTTTTTTTATTAAAGTGAAAAAACCATGATGGATCACGTGGCCAATAGCCTCTTTCTTTTATTCAGATTATGCTTTTGTGCTGAATAAGTTGAATGATGTGTTTTGCCTATGTAGCTTATACTCTAATGACATGGAGAGAGAAAAAAGATGAAAGAGACATTAACAAAGGATTTTATCAGTGACAGATAGGTTTTATCTTAATGTGGGCATTTTGAAGGTTGTGGTATTACGGTACAATACCTTTTCTTTTCATAGTGTCCCGAATACCTACCAAATCCTCTACAGAGATAATCAATCATAAGCTAAAGAGAAAAGGAAGGTTTAAGACAAGGTTTAAAGTGAGGAAGTGGCTTATGGGAGAGAGAGAGGAAAGAGCTCCCTGTGTTAGACAATAAAATGAATAAAATATAAAAAATAAATGAAGCAGCAACAAAGTATGTCAAGGAAAAAAGTGTGAGAGGTAGGCCATCCAAAACTGAAGTAGAGAGGAGGTATGTGAATTGACCTTAATTGAGAGAAGGTGCTGTTCTACTCCATGGAGACATCTGAAAGTCATGATGGCAATTTGAAAATATTCAATAATGAATAGGAAGACTTGTAGGGCATAGTGGAGAGGAAAGGAGTTGGATCCAGGACTCAAGTTGAAAATTTCAGACAGTACATGTACATTAATTTATACTAAAGAAAGGAAGTGGTTAATTTTTAAGGGAAGCTGTAGGAGATTGAGAGCCAAGGGAAGTGCAGATCTTAGAGGAGATATGAAGCACAGCTGCAGACAAGAGAGATGTGAAAGGCAAAGGGAGGTCTGGGGTTGAGGTAAATACAGGGTATATTGGTAGCAGAGTTTAAAATCTGAACCAGAGGAAATGACTCTGGAATCGGAGATGTGCAACAAAGAGGACATTTTACCCCCAGGAAGGGCTTTTGATCATTCAGTCATACTCTGAAGTATCAGTGGAAGTTAAGGCGTAAGACAACAGAAAAATAAATGTGAGACAGAGCAGAGTGAGTGGAGAAAGAAGGGCTGGGGGATACCTAAGAGATGGAAGTGATCTTGCAAGCCTGAATCTAGCAATGAAGCGCTCCTGAGGGTTTGAATAGTCAGTGGTGGAGCTTTGTGATGCTCCGTCTAAGAGTTGATGTAAGGCAATTTAGAGCTGCAATATTCAAACCAGAAGAAATGGATGCTTAATAAAGTATTTGAGAAGGAAAGTCTAATAGGAGACAGATCCACAATGCATCTAAGGTGGGTATCAAGACGCAGATCCATGGTTAGAGCGGGAGAAGGACAATCCCAGCATTGTGTGCAATGAATGTTGCTAGCATGCACAAAGTTATCATCCTTCAAAATTTCTGCTAGGATTGAGTGTTCAGTTAAGGCAAATACAGTCACAAAGCTTGGAAATAAAAAGCAGGTGAGACCACTATAATATATGCAACATACTCTGGCAAGCCTGCTAAATTGATGCAACAGTGAAGAGAAAGCCAGTGGCTGGGGAAGTAGTAGAGAAGGACACATGAAAAAGTGACATGATTTCACTTTGCCAAGCCTCCCATGACTACTGTGGCTGTTCCTTTTCCAGAATTTCAGATTTTTCCTTTCAGCAGACCCTGATTTCCTATGGCTAACACTCTGTGTCAAAATTCAAGGTTGTCAGTGGATGTATGCCAGTTTACACCAGGGTGAAAACTGGCCCACTTGCAAAGTCTTTAGTTCCTTTAAAGGCTAAGGATTATCTGTCTCTTTCCTGTATAATTAAGTTTTATTAATTCTCACCTCTGTTTGTAGTAAGCGTAATCATTTATCAAACCGAGCAGTGAATTGTAGATGATCGTTCCATGCACTGATAAAGTGGTTGCATTGAGAGAGTGTTTGCATTGTCAGTCTCCTGGAAAAAGAAAATGCATTTATATGTGGAATCGATTTCACGTTGTTTGAATGGAATTGGCTAAATTTGTTAATGTAATTAATTGTGGATGTCAAAAAGTCTGGATGAAGATTTACTTAGTCCAGATCTGAAGCTGAAGCCTTGTAAGCCTAGGTCTGTAAATAGAAATCTTTATCAAACCAAAAGTAATTATAGAACAGCACTCATTCAGCTAATGTTGATGGGAACTCGTTCGGAGGTATTAAATCATTAGGAAGGTCTCTCTGAATCTTTAACGCTCACAAGCTCTCTCTAATGAATAACAATTGCACAAATGATTTTCTGCACCTATGTTTGTTATGATTAAATCTGGAAGAAGACAGATCTGCTGTAGGG